AAATAAAGAAACGCAGGTACACCACACACACACACACACACACACACACACACACACACACACACACACACACACTCCTCAAATAACCTAAAGCAGTAACACAGTGCTATGTATCACAAAGGGAGTTAACACATTGAACAGAGCCACACAATGGCAGTGTCACCTTTCGGGATTCTGAGGGATTCTGAGGGTGGGGAGGAGTGAAGCAGTAAGGAAATGCACACTCCCTGTGACCAGAGCACACCCTCTTGGCAGCCTATGGGAGCCCGGTTGCTTCTACAAAGCCGGTGGAGCTCCTCTGTCCAAAAGTCTTGTTGGTACAGGGAGGACAGCTTCCTGTTCCCAGCGAGCGTCACCCTTGGGCTTTCCTACCCCTCCTTCCTAGAGTTGGCTACTCCTGTGTCCTGTCACATAAAACTGTGAACCGAGGTCTCGGACTGACGTCATGTCAGTCACAGCAGGGTGAGGCTCTCTTAGTGTGCATTCTGGCCCCTGGAGCTTGACTTCTGAATTGATTTTGCAGCATGTTATGTGATTTGAGCATCTGCACACACCTTATTGTGTCAACTTGTGGTCAGCAAGACCAGAAATCCGGGCACAACATTGTGAACCTCAGATTTCTCACAGAACTGAAGAAAACATTTGTAGTGTAGTCAGTCCCTGAGCCAGCCTCCTGAATGGAAATGGATGGATAGTCTCACGGTCTGACTGACAAGGTCAGTCAGTGGCTTTGAAGACAGTTGTTGCACTAGTGGGTTTTTTGTTTGTTTGTTTGTTGTTTTAAGATGAGGTTTCCCACAGCTGCTCTGGCAGCTTGGGTGGCAATATTGACTTTCTCCCTAAGTTCTCTGTCCTCTGCTCTGATACGCTGAGTCCACACATGTATAAAGAAGGAAGGGAGGGAGGGAAAGAGAAAGTTAGGGGGGAAGGGAGGAAGGAAAGAAGGAAGGAGAGAGAGAAAGAGAGGTATAAGTTTACTTAGGACCTCACAGATGGAACTTTCAGCATTTGGGTCCCTTGCTCGCTGCCATAAAGAGGAAAGACAATGCAAGTCCAAGTCTCCTGATTGTCACTTCATGGCTGTTTTCATTGCACAACAAGTGTGGAGAGTTAGAAATGTTAATTTTATCATGGAAGTGATCCAAAACCTTATGTTGTGACCCTGGGGTGGGGGTGGTTGAGTTCTCCCAGGGCTATGAACAAAAGTTTTCCACACTAAAATGAACTTAGAAAGTAAATAATCAGAAATAATTCTGGGGAGAGAGATGCCCCCGAGAATACCGAGACCATCCAGTTGGCCATCCTTCAAAGGTATCAATGGCAAACTTACTGAATGCAAGTGGTCAGTTGGAGTTTGGAGTTGTCTTAGGTTTCCTACTCTGAGTCATGATAGCAGAAACATCTTGTTCTCCTTCTGGGGACTTGCACGCTCTTGGGATGATTGGTTTTTTTTTTTTTTTTTTTTTTTTTAACCAAGTTCCACGCTTTTTTTTTCAAAGACAATAATGTCTTTTCCTGTATAGTTTACTTAAATAAACAAGAAAGAAACAACGGATTTAGCTGTCCTTATGAAACGAGACTTAATTTTTTTTTTTTAATCTAAAGAAAGAAGCCACTGACCAGTGCCCCCTGCTTTGTTCCATGAGGTAAGTTCATAAGCAGTTTTATTTTGAATTTATTTCAGCTGGACCAACAGTTCTGTTTCCTACTGCCCACCCACATCATAGACATCAAAGATGTCTCAAATAGGTCAAAATGTGTCCAGAAGGTTGTGTGAGCCCGTTCTGTACTCAGTGGCCAGGGTATTCCTGCAGAGGCTCTGTGGCAAGGTGGTGGCATGTTTTTACTGGCAAAATGGTCATTACAAAACCCAAGCATTTATTGTCAGTGAGCAGACAAGCTTCAGGGGCCACAGAAAGCACATGTGTCATCTGAGTTGGGGAACAGTGTGAGGAAGACAATCTGGGGCAATCAAGTGGTGGTTTTAGTCCAGTGCACCCCCATTTTCCTACAAATGTCTAACAAGTCCCTAAATATCTTCGCTTGAATAACAGAGTACTGTTTTACACCCACCCACCATCTTGGATCATTTGTATTAAATGAAGCAGTAAATCTATGAAAACAACAGAGGCAATGAAACCAAATGCCTAACCCCTACCTGTGCTTTGTCCCCTTTCTTTCTGCTCATCATCTGGGGTTTAAAGTCTACGAACTCATCTCCTGATAGCCAGTCCCACATAAAATCCACCACCAAGCTGTGCTGATCTTAGCCATCTTCCGAATTCCTGCTTTTCATCCCTTTCCAGTATCAGGGTCCCAGGGTCCCAAATTCTTGTCAGCTGTCCCAGCCTGTTCTCCCCTTCCCTGTATGACTTTCCTCCGAATATTCCAGCACTCCAGTTCAGACCACTACATATAATGCAGAGCTGATTGTGGTGTCCCATTCAAAACCACTCTGCTCTGAAAATAACCTCCAAGTGCATCATTTGGTCACTAACATGACCATAAATCATCTCCAGTCCCTCTTTGGCCATTTCCAACCTGACCTGTGCAAGCTACTTAACATTCTCTGCTGGAGACTCAAACTTGTCAAATTCCTGTTTATGCAATGCAGATTACCCCCTCTACCCAGAGTTACATTTTCTCTCTCATTCCTTACAATGTCTTATGCTTGTCTGGTATGAAGCTTCCAGTCCCCATTCATCCCCCCAGGACACACTTGGTCCAGATCAATCATTCTGACTGGGATTTGTACAGCAGTTTGCTGTGCAAATGTAGCCTCTACCCTGGTGCTCATAGGCCTTTCCTGCTGAATGAGGTCTGAGATGAGACCTCATTTTTACCACTGCTTCAACAGCTCCCTGGTCACCATGTTTACTAAGTTCCTGGTCTCCAAAAGGAGTACAGTAAACATCGAGGAACCGACATGCCCTTAAAGAGAAGGAAAGGTCTGGGAAACCCCTAAAATATCCGTGCTGCTATAACATCTTCTCTACACTCTGGTGTACCAACAACCCATGCCAGTCTTGGCTTCAAACACACCCAAACCCCTCTCAATGCTCAGGATCATAGGGAACAAAACACACAATTTAACCTTTAAATTTTTTTTCAGAGAACTAAGGGTAACCTGATGCAGTAGATAGCCACTTTTAGGCTACTTTCCCAGAAGTAAATCCAATGGCAGTATGTCACCCTGTAATCCCCTCGAAAAGAGACTGAATCCCAATGAAAGCTATCCATACACTCCTAAACAAGCACAAACAATGGGCAATATTTTCCATGTGGCACAAGGTAGAGCCCCTAGAGTTACACCTTGGTTCTGCCACTTTCCCTAGTAGGGTAGATTCATACAAGCACTCCCACTGCACACTGCAGAGGCTGGGAGTCCTCCACAATAAAATACAAGCACCAGTCCCTGGGCTGTGGTCTATGCGCGGTACACCATAGACGCTTCTGCGGGACCTGCATCTATGTCAGTTGTTCTCAACCCATGGCTTACAAACCCCAAACAGTTATGAAGTGGCAACAAGAATAATTTTGTGGTTGGGGAAGGGTGGTCATCACACTATGAGAAACACCACAAAACTTTCAAAGGGTGGCAGTGTTAGGAAGGTTGAGAACCACTGTCCTCAGAGGTCCATGCTATCCTGCCTCCCCATGTGTGGCATCTAAAGCAAACCCCTTGTTCCTCATTCCCACTAGATCTTTCTACTTAAAGAAAATCTTCCTGGAGTGTGTTTGGGAGGAGTCCTAGCAAGACACACTATCCAAAAAGAACACAGAAGCACAGATCCCTTTCCAAAATGTCCCTGATTTCAGAGTAAAACTGCAGACACACCCTTATTTTAACAAAGAAAATAAGAAAGAAAAAAGAAAGCATTAACTAGGAAAGAAGCTGGCCAACTCCCCAAATCTCAGTGAATTCAACTGGGCTGGGTGATGCCTGAGATCTTCACAAGCTGATTGGATGGAGAGGAGCTGAAGGAACTGGCATCTTCCCGGATGCTGGACCCCAGCCAAGCAAAAGCAAAATGAAAGTGGGAAAGTAATCAAACACACGTGAGGGCCGCTCTTATCCAAATGCAAAGCGTGTGTGTGTGTGTGTGTGTGTGTGTGTGTGTGTCTGTGTATGTGTGTGTCTGTGTATGTGTGTGTGCGCGTGTTCCCAGTGGAGAAAATGCCAGCGCTCCAACAGCAGAGTGAGAATGTCCCTGTTTCTACTGACGGAAAATGTGCCGGTGACCTCTCTCACCATCCTTCTTGCTTCACCCTACTACCATTCCTCCTGTCCCCCTAAGCAACTGTGTCTTATTACTAAGGAAGATGGGATGTTTGTAAGTAAGGGAAATTCCCACACTGTTGTGGGCGATGCTTTGTGGCCATGATTCTTCTGAGGTGTGGCCAACGGGTGTGTTATCAATGCCATGCCTTCTGGGCATCCTCAGAAGAGGAACATTGGTGAACCAGCTTACCTGACTTCAGGGGGACAGGATACCCAGGCACCACAGCCATGATCACTTCCCCCATTCTCATTGCTTGAATATACTGGTGACAGAGGTCTGTAGAGGATCCTACTCTATTTCTCCAAACCTCCCCCCACCCCTGCACCCACTCCACCCCTCCACCCTCCCCACTCCTCCGCCTCTAATACAGAAGACCACGTAGGCGGTTTTTGTTTGGTTTTGTTTGGATTTTTGTTTTGTTTTTCATGCAACTACATAATATTACAAAGGAGTGATATCAAAAAGAAAATCTTGGCTAGAAAAAAAAACTTGAAAATGAATGTTTGCTTAAGGATTTAAAAAGAGAAAAACAAAGTAAAAGAGGTCCTTAGTGTCCTTTTAAATAGTTGGATTTCTATGGATTCCGTCTTAAATTACAATGGATGGTGTTGGCACACAGGAAAACATAGAGTAAAATACAACAACAGCACGTAAGGAATTTCCTCTCACCAAATTGTCTCCGGTCCCTTAATGGCCTGTAAACCTCGCTGAGTACTTTGTGCACGGTCCCTAGCGTGGTGATTTGCATCCTGCTGTGGGCCTTGCTCGTTGGTTGCTTCTAGCAGCTGTCTCAGTCGGATTCTGGCTGAGAAAGGTAAGGCTCGGTTTCCTTGCTCTTTGAAAGATCTGGGAGAGAATTGTAGAATGCCTGCCCGGGTTCGCGGTGGGAGGACTGTTATCATTCGTGCGTTGGGAAGCCTTCAGAAAAGTTTTCCAAACTTTAGGCTCTTCCTGAGCCTTGCGCTCTAAAAAGAGCCTGAGAGATTCCCCCCCCCCTTTTTTTTTTTTTTTGCACGTAGAGGCTTTGCAGAAAAAAGACTGGATGCATTGTGTTGAAATTTTGCACGTGGGGCCAGGTGTCCCTAAGCGATTCCCCGGGGTGCTTAATACCAAAAGCATTTTGCAGGCATCACCGTGGATTCTTTTTGAATTTCTAGTTGAGGGGGTAAAGTTGATAAAAAACCGCTGATGTCCCTGGTTGCCTTGTGGCTACATTTTCTAGCACGATTCCTGGTTAATTCCTGAGCTTTCTATTTCTTCGAATTTACCAGTGCAAATCAGGAGTTGTCTGAGTTTGGAGACGGGTGTCTTCATACCCAGACAGATACCTACACACTGTGCTGAGAGAATGGCACGAACCACACCTGAAGCTGTGAAAAGGCTGAAGCTTCAATAGTAGAAGTAGCACCAAACCTGTGGTCTCCCTCTCCAGAGTCCTCCACTGTTCACTCTCCTGACTGCTTCAGCCCTGGGCTCACTGTGGGAAAGGATGTCTTTCTCCTCTCCAGAGAGCCATTTCTTTACCTTTGGTTTAGGAAGCAAGAAAGAACAGTCTACAGGAGGATAGTATGGTGTTAGAGCTTCTTTGGGGTTCCTGGGGATCTGCTTGATTTGCAGAAAATCGCCTGTGCTGAGAATTAGGGAGGACTTGCCCCAAGGATGGGCATTCTGAGGTAGAAAGACATTCTCTTTGAGAGCTACCACTTGATGTAGCCCAAATCATGGTCTTGTCAAATGCCCTGGTTCCAAATATGCCCAATCTCAGCCCCCTGGTGATGTTACTCCATTTCTCCAGGGCTCATTGAAAGCTGTGAGGATAGTAGCAGTCTAGGCCTCTAAGAAGCCTGCAGGCACCTGCTCAGCCTCAGCCAGGTCTCAGGCACTTCTCAGTGTGTTCTCTTGGAACAAGGAAACCCTTGCTCTGGCAACATCTGAGAAGAAAGGACTTCTGGTCTCTGTGTTGCTGTTAGTAGACCGGGCTGAAAGGTGAGAGCTAGGCGAGGTGTCTAAGAGGAGCCATGTCAGTGGCTAAAGAGATCTGAGCATCCCACAGCTGGGAAAACAAAAATACTCCAGGACTAACATGAATGTGTAAACTGTACCAGGATTTTGTGAGACTTTCACAGATTAAAGAGAATATAAGTGGATAACATTTAGAAAAATAGGAACAGGCTTCTTGTAGTTTCCTAGTATTGTCATCGATCTTTTTCACCTCTGGCTTTATGCTTCTCAGGTACTTTACAATTTCCAGCAGCTTATCTGCAAGAAGCATAATCATACCAGCTGTTGACTAGGGTGGGACATAGCCTTGAGCTTATTATTTGAGAGAATGGTCTGTGTGCTCAAATATTGCTGATCAAAATGGGCCAAGGAACAGCGGGCTTGACATACGCAGAAAGATAGTTATGCACCTTCCTATTCAGGTTCTACATTTAACAAGTTCTATCGGTGAGCTGGTACCCATTCATAACCGAGGTCCAGTGGGCCTGGTGGTGAAGGTCTGTGTAACTCTAGCTACCTGACGAAACAGACAGGGGATGAACTGGGAATGTAGCTCAAACAGAATACTTGCCTAGTATGTATGAGACCCTGGGCTCAATCTCCTAAGAAATAAAATGGGACCAAAGCAAGCATTTGTTTCTTGGGGAACTTTGTCATATTGCTTTAGCTCTTCGAACCTCCATAAATCATTTGCAAGTGAATGAGACTCAACTAATGTGTGGCAGTCCTTAATATTATGCCACACCCATAGTAGGCACTCCGGCCGTAGTAGCAATGTTGATGATAATAGTGATGATTTCAGGTTTGTCAAAGCTACTCATCTCCTAGCACAAGTAGTAAACAATCCTGCTTAAATCAAGAGAGCCAGGGTTTCCCAGCCTAACCAGAAACACAGTACTCCCCACCCTCCCCTATAAACCAGGGAACATCAAACAAGGGGAGGAGGATGTTTAAGTTTCTCTTGGCCATCTCACACATATATAAGTAAAAATACTGGTAGAGCTAGGAGCTTGGAATTCTGCTGGCCTAGAGGCTGGGTTCTGCTGCTTGAAAACTCCACAGCTGTTCCTGCCTCTGGGGAACGTCTGTCTCCCAGTTCTGCCCCTCAACTAGGTCTGCAATGCTGACTCTGGGATTCTCTTGGATCCTCTTGTGAAAATGCCTGATGGGCAGGCAGAGGGAAGATCTGGAGATCGGCTGGGGGAAAAAATGAGTAATTCAAAGCAGCCCACTTAGTAAACGCTGCGAGAGAAATAAAAGTCCATGCTGGTTCCTGTCTCTGGGGACTCTAAAGTGATGATCCCGAATTACCATGTCACCGAGCAGAGCAGAGTTGGGGCAAGCCAAAACTCGGAGTCTGCTGGCAAGTAAAAGAAGGAGGGGAAAAAAAAATGACAGGGAGGGGCAGACCAGAGGAGGAGGGACTAAATGAGAGGGGGAGGGAGGGACAAGCGTCACTCACTTAGTCACTTTAGGGGTGGCATGAAAGGCGAGCTCCAGCATTCAAAACCTAATCCACAGTTAAGTATTTTTGTCTTTTCTGTCCCCCAGAGACAATCCCTGGCCTGTCCTTTTACCAATGCCCAGTGGGTGACAGGCTCTTTCCCAGAAGCTGAAGGAAGATACTCTGGCTGGTCCTTCTCTCCCAAGTCAAGTGGCTTCGCTGGCAATGGATTGCCTTTCTGTGAGGTATGTGTTGTTAGTCTGGGGACAGATCTTGCTTTTTTAACAATCTCAGCTTTGTGGAGAGGGAGATTTTTTTTTCCAGATATCCTTTAACTGACCTAGCAGTATAATTTTAGGGTATCATTAGACAATAGTAGTTCATGTGTTGATGATTAAAATATATACAAATTACAGTCAGGTAGTCCTCTCTAACTTTCACTGCTTGGTGAGTGATATTTTGACCACCCAGGAGTACAAAGAATGAAGATCTGATTTGATGTTGTGTTTGCTTTCAACCAAGGCTTAATACAGTCAAAGGATTAATGTCATCAAAAGCCTCCTCTCCAGTGTCCCGCAAGTCTGCAGTCTTTGCAACTGTTCAGTCTCTCCAGGGTGCAAGTCAGTGACTCAACATGTCTGAGCCTCAACCAAACCTTCTTCCTGGTTTCTCAGACCAGGCTTTCAACCAGATGTTTTTTTGATCTTGAGTTTTGTCCTAAAACCTTCAAGTTCAAAACACCTAGGAAGGGGCAAGTTTTATAAAGAAGGACATTGAAGGAAAATGAACTGGTTAATTTTTGTGACTATGCATAGTTGTATGAGCATCTTATAAAATGCAAAATATCACAATTCCTTGCTGCTTTTAATAGAAAGTTTGAAAGTGACAGCTACTTAGTTACTCTAATAATTAACAGTCAATTTTTTCTTAAGCATTGGGAAAGTGGAAAAAGAAAAGAAAAAAGAAAAAAAAAAAGAAAAAGAAAGAAACCATTGTATCCAAAAAAAAAAAAAAAAAAAAAGGTCTGAAGTGGTTGGAACCTAATTTCTAAACTGACCGTTTGTCTCAAGAGATGAGCAGCGGGAATGGTGGAGGTAGGGTGAGAGCTGGGGTGGGGTGGGGTGGCGGTAGGGGTGGAAAGGTTCCAAGCATACACTTGGCCATGCACCTTGCTTCAGGAGCTATCGGTTGATAGAGAAGCATGCCATTTGTACACTTGTATTTGATTTCACAAGCAGTGAATGGGCGATAGCTTGGAAAGAATGCACATCGTGCTTGGCAAAATCGGCAGAGTTCAAGTTGCTGGGAGTTGTGGGACTGTTTATAGCATATTCTTCTCTTGAGCGAGCCATCTTTGGTAGGCAAAGAGGAAACTCCTAGAGGACATTTGTAGACCACCAAGGAATATGAAGTAGTGCAAAGTGCTTCCTGCTTTTTGTCTCCTTTTTTTGTGCATAGCTGCTTCCCCTTGGCCCGATGTAAAAGAATGCAATAAATGAGAAATGCAAATAAGCGAGGCTTGTGCTCCTGTGTGTCCTGGGACAGGAGGTACCTCTGCACCTTCTGCTTCTGTTTGCTTCTGGTGCTGGTCACTTAGCTGATGTCTCCTGCCTTCTTCTTCACAGCTTCTGCCCTGGCCAGGCTTTTCAAATCTAGTCTGTGAAGCCAGGTAGGAAACACCCCCAGAAAAATGACTGAAGAACCCATAAAAGACAACCTGGGATCCCCAAATTCTCCCACGCCCGTGATAATGGAGAAAACCCCTAAGAGTGAAGTTGTGATCACCACTGTCCCCTTGGTCAGTGAGGTGCAGCTGATGGCCGCCACAGGGGGTGCGGAACTCTCCTGCTACCGCTGCATCATCCCCTTTGCTGTGGTGGTTTTCATCGCCGGGATCGTGGTCACTGCCGTGGCTTACAGCTTCAATTCTCACGGTTCCATCATCTCCATCTTTGGCCTGGTCCTTCTGTCCTCTGGACTTTTTTTATTAGCCTCCAGCGCCTTGTGCTGGAAGGTGAGACAAAGGAATAAGAAAGTCAAGAGAAGAGAGAGTCAGACAGCTCTGGTGGTAAATCAGAGAAGCTTGTTTGCATAAGGCTGACTGAGACCAAATGGGAAATTCCATCCTAATGTTCTGCTCCGACTTGTTGAGTTGTTCATATGGAACCAGCCCAGGACGGAATGGGCTGAACTGTGGAATGGACTACCAAAATGAAAATAGGGCATATAGAGGACTGAAAATGAAGGGTCATGACAGTTCCCCTTTGTAGGGAATACCATCTTTAATGACAAACTTAATCCTAAGGGCTATCTGTATGACAAAAGAATCAGCTTTCTTTTTATCTTAAGCATTTGCAGAGCATGGGATTTGTACAACACTAAATGACAGTTGGTTCATCTAATAGAGTACCCTAGGGTTGATGGACAGATGAAAGAACCCTGGAAATAGTCCACACTCTGGAAGGTGGTGTTATAAAAATGTTCCATCAAAGGCCTACATTGGTTTGGGATTTCCATGCACCTAAAACATTCTGTTATATATATTTTCCAATGAGTTGATTCTCTGGCCTCCCTTTAAAAAAGATTTTCTCTTTGAGTAACTCATCACTAGTGGTACTTTATCATGAAGAATAAACTAATTTTTTTATGTATTTTAACAATGGACAATTTTAGATGATTATAATGATAATGTCAGAAGAAAGCAGGAAGGTAGAAGATAACACAAATGGCATGGGGGGTAAATTAATACTGAAGTAATCGAATACAGCACCTTTAATGGTTTTTATACAAAAGTTTAATGTGCATTTCACTCAAAATAATAAATACTCATGGCTGCTAAAACTTAAGTGTTTATTTCTGCTGTCCTTATTATTTTAATTTTTTTAAAATTTGATTTATATATATCCATGTGAATCTGTGTTGGGGTTTGTGCATCTGAGTGCAGGTGCAGTTGGAGTCCAGAGGAGGGCATCTGATCTCCAAGAGCTTGAGTTATAGATGATTGTGAGCCACCTCACATGGGTACTGGGAACAGAATTCGGGTCCCCTGCAAGAACAGAACATGCTCTTAACCCCTCTGCCATCTCTCTAGCTCCTGTCCTTATTATTTTTGTTGCTATTCCAAATTTCCCATCTCCCCTCCTCTAATTTGCAAAGTATCAATTGTGTGTTTCTCAACTGAAGAGGTCATTTCTTCTTCTGGAAAACTCTTATTTTCCTCTTATGGTGCAATATGCTCAGTAACACTTAATATGTTCTAAAGAGTTACTAAAAATGCCAGTGGGAAATCAGTGCCTGAGGTCAGAAATTTAACAATGTTCTATTAAATGTGCATTATGCAGATTGCATATCTAGTTTGTCATAATACTACACAAATAAGGTTAGTGTTTGAATTTCTTCTGTGGTTCTGAGCTAGCCCATGTCTACCCCATTACTCCAGGAAGAATCATTCCTCGTTATTGTAGTTTAAACCTCACTCAGTCCCAGTGAGAAGATAGCCAGACCCAAAGCCTTAAATTTTGCAGAGTCTGTGGGTGGGGGACCTAGCATGTCATATTCCTTGAATGGGATTCTATAAAGGGAATTCATTAAGTCTGTCAGGAGCCATCTGGCACTGACTACTCCCCAGTCCTTGCCGGCTTTTGAATCTAGAAACACCTTAAGGTTTCTCATAACCAATTCCAACTGACTGAACAAGGCTCATTGCAGGGCAGTTAACTGCTGTGACTTGATACGTTTTGGTGTTGTTGTTTTGTTTTAAGTGAAAGACAGCCAAAAGTTCCATAGTTCTTTAGGAAGAAATTTCTCAGGGAAAGTTCAAGCTTCTCCAGGCTGCTCTAGACACATCTCATCCTTCACCTCCCATCCAATAATCCTCCCTATGAGTCAGCCCTACTAGATTCCAGCCTCCTACATTAGTCTCTGGTTTTCCTATGTCCCTGTCTGCCCAGACTTTTCTCTCCCTTATAATGGTAATACCATCCTTTCTTCCATCTCAGGCTACCCAAATCCTGCTTTCCATCAGCACTCCAGCTCCAAAGCTCCCTCCTCTTGGAAGCCATGTTCTATGGGAACACACCTACTCTTCCATCACGGCCATTGTTTCTTATTGTTTGTGGCACCTTTCGGTTTTCAGCCACGTGGGTGATGTAGATGTTTATTTGTCCCTTCCATATCTTGGTCATAGCTTTAGGAATGAACTTTTTGCTGTTTTCAGTGTGCTGGCTACTGCATTATATTGTACAGGGAAGAAATTTAATATATACTCAAGTGAGGTGATAAATAAACTCAGGAAGGAAAAGTGGGGGGTTTATTCAGAGTTACAGCCTGTTCCTATATCTTGAAAGAAAATATTGTGATTTTTCAACTTCCCTAAGAATAGCCCGCCCCCATATTCCAGCTCCATGGCAAAGGCAGAAACAGTCCACTATTTTTCAGCTGAGCCTCCAGCCCTTCAAAATGATTGAAAAGCAAATGCATGAATTATTTCTGGCCAGCAGGGGGCCTCATACTGCTACCAGAGTCCCCAAAGAAAACATATGGGAAGACTAAATGGACTAGTATCTACAAATAGCAATATGGTTCCTAGCTGAAAGGAACTGGAGAAGACTCCCCAAGCGGCTCATTTCCATCCATCCATTTCCGTAAGTTATTTTATACGATGGAGGGTCTCCTAGTATGGGAAGACCTTGCTTTCTGGGAAGTCGCCAGGCCTCATAAAGAGTTTTGGTCCCTGGGAAGATGTAAGCACTGAGACAGTCCTAATAGACTAGGAGTCACAACTCCAGTAAGGGAAATAAACAAGATCTTGAATTTTATTTACAATTGAAACATGTCTTTCTTGAATAGTGTCCATTTTTACAAATAGTTCTGTCATACACAGGCAAGTAGGTACTAAGTATACCCACATATATCATGCAAGCTGGAATGGAAGCATGCCTATGTGCAGGGTCTCACTCTGTAGCCTAGGCTGGCCCCAGATGTGTGGCAATCCTGGCAATCTTCCTGTCTCAGCCTCAGGAGTGCTGGAATTACCAGAGGGAGAGGAAGGGAAGAATGGAAAGATGCAGAACTGGGAGAGGGTAGGGTCAGGTGATCTTCAGTTAAGTTTTGTTTTCAGAATAATGGTAGTTATAAAGAAATATTTTAATTTTCTACCCTCTAAAGCATTATGGGGGCTACAGATAGCTCAGTGGTTAAGTGCTCTTGCAGAGGAGCAAATTTTGTTTACCTATAACCACAGACTTGCTCATACCCATACAGATGTGAGCACACACCAAAGTTAAATAAATCTTAAAAACTAAACACTACAAAGCTTCAAATTTTCTCTTTGTAATATCTAATGCTAAGTGCAACTTCCCTCCCTTGCTGTCTCCACGTGTAGTAAAGCATCAAGCAGTCACTTGTTTGGATTAAATGTTTTTAATTGGTCATTTTATTTGACCTTGACATAATCCACAGACTTTCTGAACACAAAATAATCTGGAGAAATATCTGTCCCAAAGAATAAGCCTACAAACATAGAGGGGAGGGGAGGAGAAGTCGGGAGGGAGGGAGGGAGGAAGGGAGGGAATAAATCAGTGAATAGATGAGCAGATAGAAAAATCTTCCTCACTGTTCCTCTCCTACTGACCTGTCCGTCATTCAAGCCACTTTGGTCCACTCGGCTTTGGTCACTCGGCAGACAAGAAGACCACGGTAGAAATCTCCCTAGAAGTCATAGGTGCAATTTCCATTCTTGTTTTGAAGTCTAAGAGCCTGAATCCCTGTTCTAGGACATACATGAGGAATTCTTATTACTCCTTACTCTTATTAATTACCCTGTGTTAACCAGACCCAACCCTCACAGCTGATACAGTCAACAGGCCATACTTGCCATGCTGTGACACCAGGAGACCTCTTAATTGACTCAGTCAATTTAAGTGAGTTGTTTAACCAGAAGCTCACAGCCAGAGAAGCCGAGCACCAGGATGAGTGAGTTGAGGGCACAACATTGTAATTAATATGGTATCCCTATTCTTTTGAGAATCAGTATTAAAATTGCCATAGACTGCAGGGCTTATAAACACAGAAATGTATTTGTGATAGTTTTTGAGCCTCCAGAATCTGAGCATAATGTAGTGACAGAGTGTCTGTCTGAAAAACAAACAAACAAACAAAAAACTTGCTTTCAGGTTCATAGACAAGTTTCTCACCATGTACCCTCAAATGAGATAACCAAAGAAATTTTAAAGGGCCACTATCTCATCCAAGAGGATTGATTCCCCAGGATCCCATCACCTTCCAGAGATTCACACCTCCAAATGCTATCACACTGGAGATTTGACTTTCACATATAAATTTGGGGAGTACACAAAGCTTATGTACAGCTCTTGGCTTCATGATTCTCTGTCACCAAAATAACTTCCCAAATGTCCTGTTTATTTATTCGGGCTAGCTTGTGGTTTCATGGTTAGTCATTATTGTGCCTGGGAGCATGGTGGCATGTAGGCAGACATGTTGGTAGAGGAGTAGCTGAGAGTTTCTCTATCCAGATCCACAAGCAACAGGAAGAGAGACACTCTGGGCTTGAAATGGGCTTTTTGAAACCTCAAAGCCCAGTGACACCCTCTCTCTACCACCAAGGCCACATTTCCTAATACTTCCAAATAGGGCCGCCTGCTGACCTGGTGTTCCGATCTATGGGCCTTTGGGGGGCCATTTTCATTCAAACTACCAGAGGAGGCAATCAAAGTGTTTGTACATCCACTTAATATTTTTATTAAGTTATCATAGATATGTGGAAAGGTGTAGTGCTCAGTGAATTTCCACAAGCCAATCCTGTGGAACTGTGCTATGGTTAGGATGTGAATAGCCTTCACAGGCTGCTCACTCTGTCCCTAGTTGACAGCCTGTTAGGGGAGGTTGTGAAACCTGTGGGATATAGGAACCAGCTGGCAGACCAATGTGTCACTGGAAGTAGGCTCTGGGGGTAACAGCCCACCCCTGCTCCTGGCCTGTTCTCTGCTTGCTGATCCACCAAGATGGAAGGACTCTGTCTCTTGATCCACTGCTGTGAGCTCTGATATACCCTCTGCCATGTTAAACTAAACCCCAAGTTAAAGTAAATCCCACCTCCCTTAAGTTGCTTTTGCCATATATTTGATCACAATGATGGAAAACAAATGTACACTAACATTAGATAAGGAAATACTGTCTGCCCTGTCTGTGTCCACTCCCAGGCACTGTGTCTCCAGGGGGAACCATTATTCAAACATCAGCGTTACCTGTTGGTTTGTTTTAAAAATGTTTTTATATGTGTACATGTGGAGCCTAAGTGCATGTACATGTACCACATGCATGCAGGAACCCACAGAGGTCAGACCAATCATTGAAACCCCTGGAAATGAAGTTCTAGATGGTTTTCAGCTGCTGTCTGAGTGCTGTGAACCAAACCCGATCCTCTGAAAGAACAGCCAGTGCTCTTAGCTGCTGAGCCATCTCTCCAGGCTTCATTTGTAGGTTATTGTTTCCTTAAAAAGCAAGCAAGCAAGCAAACACTAACCCACTGAATAGATAGAATAATGAGCACATTTTTTGTGACTACTTTTTTTCCAATAATGTATTTATGAAATGTGCCTATATTATTGCATGTAGTTATATAGGGGTCATTTCTACTTCTGTCTAGAATTTCATGATCCAAAGACTCTATCATCATTGGTCCTTTGTGCTGTCGATGGGTATTCAAGGAGTTCTAGTTTCCAAGCATTAGGAATAGAGCCTTTGACAGCTAGCCTCCAATAGGGCCCCAGTGAATCTTGCATTTTGGTACTCACTTGCTTCTGTAGTTCTCCATCTACACTAGCTC